ACTGTGGTAAGTTACAGGTGTGTGCTCTAGAGCCTAAAGCAGCCGCTGAAATACCAAAGGAATGATATATCCTAAAGGAGAGAAAATGGAATTCTATAGAAAGCATGAAAACACTATGTTAGAGCAACTGCTCTTCTGGGACTCTCCCCTATAAAATGCTTCAACAAATGGCCAGATATTTGTACAAGAACGAAGACTACAGCATACTTTTAATCCCACATTAATTTGAAAAGTATATGAAAAGTGCTCGGAAAACACTAATACAAACAAACAATGACTACCGGGTTTCTCTTGACCTGTTTTCCACCCCTGATTTTGGCCAGGTCCCCCTGTAGTGCAGCAAGCTAGAAGACTCGAGGGTAGCAACGGAGGTGACCTTTTCCCAGTAATGGCTGAAAGAGAGTGCAGAGAAGAGAGAGGTAACAAAGGTGTGACTTTTGCTCTTAAAGAATAACAAAGGCGTCCCTGGGTGGGCTCGAACCACCAACCTTTCGGTTAACAGCCGAACGCGCTAACCGATTGCGCCACAGAGACGGATGGAGAATAAGTCCTCAAGGTAGCAAAGACCAAGTCTTCAGTCACCGCTAGTGGAGCCATATCCCTGTTTCTGGACCGAGGACCGTGTAGACTCCAAAACCTCGGAAAACCGTAGAGGGGCGGCGGGGGCAAGAGGTGAGTTCCCGCTGCCCGTTGGTCGCGTTTGATAGGCAGTGAGCGGCCGAACGGTCTCCCTGCCCTTGCTCTACTCTCTCCTTAGATGCCAGAGCCCCAAAGACCCCGGACCCAGGACTCCCTGGGCCTGAGTCCAGTGGGGCCCAAAAGTAGCTGACCGACCCGTGGGCTCCAGTGAAGACTTCACGTTTGCTTCGGCTGCAACCGACCTCACCGAGGCAGCACGGCACCAGTCCTTACCCGGCGGGGTGACACCTTCCCCTGAAGGGGTGCCGGGCACAGGGAAGCGCTGGTCTGTGGCCTCAGATAAGAAAGGGGGCGGGCGGCACGTGCGTGTAAAAATTAAGCTCCAGGCACCACGGAGGTCCCTGCCGTGACTCGGATTCGAACCGAGGTTGCTGCGGCCACAACGCAGAGTACTAACCACTATACGATCACGGCCCGCCACGCCCGCAGCGCCTGCCCGCACCCTCGCTCTGGGAGCTTTGGCGTAAAACCATTCCGTTCGCTGCGCTTTGTTCCTGAACGACTGACTGCAGGGATCTCCTCTTTCCTGCTCCTTCTGTGTCCCCTCCTTCCCCTCAGTTCTGATGATAAAACAAAACAGACCCCTGCCCCCTCCTGCTCCCAGCAATTCTCCTCTCCCCAAACCAGGCCCGGCCTCTGCCCCGGCCTCCTGGTAAAGCACCCCTACCCCGTCCCCGTCTCCCCCACACTGTCCCGCCTCCCCGCGTTGGCCACGGGGACCCCGGCCTGCCCACCCTCCCCAGCTCCCGGGTGGCCCCCGTGCACAGCGCCCGAAGAGGCTGATTTTTGGACAGACCCAAAGGGAAGACTTCACGGTCGCAGGACGAGTCTCAAATCCCACGTCCAAGGGCCCCGGGCCCCGAAAGCCGAATGGTCCGGGAGGGAGAGGGGGCCTGCGCCCTGATCAGAAAAATCCCGAAACCAGGAGCAGCGGGGACGGTGCACCCGGCTGGTGCTTAATTGGGGGCGACTTAGTCACCCATCCCCAATACACACCCCCGGCCCTCGCTGGGACTCTAGAGCTCGGCGGAGTCCTCCGCACGGAACCGATCGGATCCCGGTCCCCCGTGCAGAACCAGGGCGGCACACCGGACCGACGGGAGGACACCTGCCTCCTTGGAAGCGGGGAAGCTCCGGCGACCGAGACAATTTCACGTGGTTTCTGGCCAGAGCACCCGAAAGGATGGGCTTTCCATCAGCCACGCGGGGGACATGCAGGTCGCGGAGGGGGGTCAGGGCCGCAGAGCCTCGCTGGAAAGCGAGTTCCACCCGCTAATCGGGTCCCGCACCCCTCAGAGTACCTGCTGAGGTTGGGGATCCCGGGGTCTCACCCTGGGCGCCTCTCCTCTCGCCTCCCCGACCACTTGGTCCTCTGACCCACCCAGGAGACCTTCTCTCCGGGCGGCAAAGGCGCGCTCTCTCCCAGCGGCTCGGAGGGGCGGCGGGGGCAGGACCACTCGCGCCCGGGCCTGGGGGCGCTCGGCGGGCGGTGTGCGGGCTCCTCTGGGGGGGGGGCAGGGAAGCATCCCCGGGAGGACGGGTGACACCCCCTCCCCACCTCCTGCTCCAGGTAAAGGCCATCAGAGCGCGGGAGAACTGTCACTCTCCTCCGAATGGTAGAGGCAAGGCGAACTGCTATCGAGTCCCTGGTGGTCTAGTGGCTAGGATTCGGCGCTTTCACCGCCGCGGCCCGGGTTCGATTCCCGGTCAGGGAGCATCCTTTTCGCCGCCGTCTGACATCTGTCCTCCCGCAGGAATCTGCTGTGCTCCGCGCACCGAGGGAGCCTTCCACTGGGGCGCGCGCTGTGCTGCTCGGAGCTCGCGGGCCTCGCTTTTCTCTCCTGCGGCCGCCACCCCGCACACGGGGCTTCCGAGGGCTCCGGGGCCTCCCGCTCGGGTTCACAGGGTCGGTGGTGCGGAGGTCGCACCCCGGGGGCTGCACCCGCCGCGCCGGCTCGGCCCGCATCCCGGAGAGGAGAGCGGGGGGTGCGCGCCCGGACACGCGCCGGCGGCCGGGCCCCCCAGCTCGGCGGGCGCGCACAGATGTTCGCTCGGCTTCGGAAGAGGCGCTGCAGCCGCCAGGGGTGACTGTCCGTCCGTCCGTCCGTCCGTCCGTCTGTCTCTCTGGCCGGGCGGGCGGTGACGTGGGCCCCGATGGGAAAGGCTGGCGGCCGCCGCGAGCAGCGGGAGGAGGAGGAATCACACCCGCTCCACACCGCCCGCCCGGGGTCCAGGCCCACGAGGACCGTTATCTCTAGATCCGTGGACTCTCCCAGGTGCGGGGCCGGGGCCCCTGTCCCTCCGGAGCCCGGCGGGATGAACGCGGGGTCCTCTGGGGCCCGGGGGTGGGGGGAGAGCAGACGGGGACCGCCGCAGGGGGAGCCGCAGGGGGAGCGGCAGGTGGCAGCGGGTCACCGGGTCTGACACCGCTGCCGCCAGGCGGAGGGAGAGGGGTCTCCCGTGGGCGTTTGCGGAGCCGGGGTGGGGGCCCCGAGTGCAGGAGGAGGGACGGAGGCTGCTCGGTGCTAGGAGGGCGCTCAGACCCACCTGGCAGGCAGACACGTGATCACCAGGGCGGTTCTCCGGGGCCGGCTGGGCCGTGCACCCGAGGGTGGTGACCCCACGAGCTCTCCCCTGGCCTCCTCGGTGCCCGGGGCCACACTGCGCCCCTCCATCCCCTTCGCCCTGCCCAGCGCCTCACCCTCTCCCAGGCTCCCATCCTGTGACTCAAATGTGTGCACCCCTCTGCCTCCTGCGCCTTGCCCCCTCCTGTCCAGACGGGCACCCCCACAGCCACCACATATGCCCCCACCCCGGTGCGTGGCTCTGGGAAAGCGTGACAGACGTGTCCCCATGACCCCCCACTCCGCCGTCCTTCTCCGGCCAGGTCCGAGGTATTTGTCCACGAGGGATTTGGCAAGATGAGGACTGAGCCCTGCCTGTGCCTGGTGGCTCCCGGCTCCGGGTTCCCTTTCCAGCGCCCTTTGCCTGCCGGGAAGAGCCAGCTGCAAACGTTTATTTAGCTGCAAAACGGAAGGACACTGGGAGAGAAGATTCAAGGGGGGCTGCTCAGAGAGAGCCTTTAAGGGAAAGTCGTGGAGGCAGAAGTGAGCCAGCTGGGCTGCGTGGACTCAGAAAAGTTCAGAGACAAAAGAAGGGCCCTTAGAGCTTAGGAGAAAGAAAGCAAAGATGCATGCTTGAAGGAGGAAGTCACGTGCATGCCTGAGAGAGAGAGAGAGAGAGAGAGAGAGAGAGAGAGAGAGAGATTGAGCTCATGCACTGGATCATTTGGTCATTTGCCTTAAAAAATTTTTAAAAATATATTTTATTGATTCTTTACAGAGAGGAAGGGAGAGGGATAGAGAGTTAGAAACATCAATGAGAGATAATCATTGATCAGCTGCCTCTTGCACACCCCCCCACTGGGGATGTGCCCGCAACCAAGGTACATGACCTTGACCGGAATCGAACCTAGGACCTTCCAGTCCGCAGGCCAATGCTCTATCCACTAAGCCAAACCAGAGTTGGCTGCCTTAAAATTTTTAAAAATATATTTTACTGATTTTTTATAGGGAGGGAAGGAGAGGGATAGCGAGTTAGAAACATCAATGAGAGAGTAACATCAGTTAGCTGCCTCCTGCACCTCCACAGGAACACCCACACAGGCTAACACACACACACACACACACACACACACACACACACACACACACCATTGGGACAGGACACAGCCCAGAAGCCAGGACACAGGACAAGGGATCCAGTCCTCTGCACACTGCTGAGTGTCCCAAGCACACTGACCAGTGCCATGTGCCCCCAAAGCCCTGCACCCAATGCTACTCCAGCCACCCCCTACCCCCTATGTCCCTCTGATTGTGCTGGGCAGCAGGGCGGGGGGCTGGAGGCACCGTGTTCACACCTCCCTCAGCTCCTGCTCCATGCAGTTCCTGGATCCCCAGATGCTGATCACCCCTTGAGAAGGAAAAGCATGGCTGGGCCAGCAGAATGCTCTGCACTGCTGACCCCGGGACCTGGCACGCTGGCTGAGCTAGGGAGCAGGGGCAGAGGTGGGCAGAGGCCCTGCTGAGAGAGGTGGTCAGTTGTGCTGCAGGCCAAAGGGAGGGCACCCTCCTGGCACATCCCTGGGTTATCCCCCATGGAGAATCCACAATTACATTCACCAAGAAAAGCCATTTCTGACAGCGTAAGTAGCCAAAGAAAAGCAGGAAACTGGGCTTTATCTGAGCAAGAGACACTTTATTGTTTCTTGGGGTTTCTGGAGGCCTCAGGCTGGGCGGGGCTCACTGATCATCCCCAGAACAAAGAGGGGCTCCGTGGCTATGATTGTGGTAGTCCGTGGCTATGACTCCCAACATCGACAGGAACTCGGAAAAATCGATCTTCTTATCCTTATTCTTGTCGTGGTCCTCAAAGATGTGGGCCAAGAAATCTTTGCCCCTTTTATCCTGTGGAAAAGACAAATTCAGTCCCAAAAGTGTTATGGGTGGAAGAGGAGGAGGAGGCACACAGGAGGAGGGGGAGAGAGACACCTGGGGCTGCACAGGTGTAGCTGGTGTGGGCCAGTGGAGGGTGTCTGGGGATGACAGGGGTATTAGCATTACCCTGCAGGTCACTGAGGGAGATTCCTTGGACCAAATATCAGCATGAAAGAGAGACCCAGTGCTGGTGGGCAACTCTGCCCAGAGCCTCACTGATCAATGAGCTGGTGGGTGGGTGGTCTTTACACCCAGACCTGCTCCCCCATCCACTTCCAGGACCCCATCTACCTAAGTTCTACCCAGAAAATAGAGATAGGCCCTACCCCTTGTCTCTTCATTCCTAACCCTCCTCTCTTATCTCCTATCTGCCTTCCCGAATCTTCCATGCTCAGTGCCCTCAGTAGCCTCTCTTTTTGTAACCAGTTCAGTATATTCTGACTGTCAGACTAAATCTGGTCTATGAATGAACTTTTCATTGTAATGAAAAGTGTTACATTTTATCAGCCATGGAATTTCATTCGCCTTCCCTTGGATCTCAGAGAACCTGATGGAAGCTTCTAGAGGCAGAGCCTGAGCCTATGGGCTCCAGTCTCCTGGATGGGCAGTGACCAGTGGGAGGGGACCCATTCTTCACTCTCCTGTTTGGCCACCTAATAACCACCCTTGATCTCCAGATGCCTTTACTCTGGGCCACCTGTATCATCTCCTCATCCTGATCATGACTCAGGTGAGTCCTCTTAGTCCTTTTTGCAGATGAGAATATGGAGGATCAGAGAATGGGATTGACTTGTCCAAGGTCCTCCACCATGCCAGGCCCCAAGCAACCTTGAGAAGTCACCCAGACTCACACAGGCCTTGAGGAAGTTGGGGAAATTCTCCTTCAGCATCTTCAGCACGCCCGGCTTGTCAATCTTGTCATCAGGTTTGGTGTATTTGTGGAACAGGTCGATCAAGTCCATCACGGACTTCTCAACTGGAGTGTTGCTGGTCATCTTGGTTTTCAAGGAAGCTGCCAGAGAGAAAGACGGGACTGTTATTATCCTTCCCCCCAGGTCAGGGTCCCTAAGTCAGGACAATGGGTGGGAACTGGGCATCCAGTGAAGTGAGGCTCAGGTGGAGCAGAAGGAACTGTTCACCTAGGAGGTGGGATGAGAAGCTCACAAGGAGGAGAGTATGACCAAGGCTGGGGCCTGGGCCCATGCAGGTTAGGGTCCAGAGGAGGTGGAGGAGAACACAGAAGCCCACTGTGGACAGAACACAGGAGGCAGAAGCAGAGAGGGTAGTACTTCCATCAACAGTCTGGACCCCAAGCAGAGAAATAGGACAGTGCAGCCCTCACACCCCAGACTTTCCAAAGCACCCAAGAAATGTGGGCATCTAACAAAAACTACCATTGTCTCCCTATCTGGGAGAAAGAACCCTGCTGCTATGTTCCTAAGTGAAACCACCCAAGGCCTCTGTCAACTTGGCCAAGGCTTTAGCTGAGCCCTATGCACAGAAGGTCACTGGTCATTCCCTCAGCTGGGGAGGAGGTCCAAAACCTTAGCTGATGGGTCCCTGATCCATGTAGTGGCAGGTCTTCTCACCAGGACAAGGTTAGTGAGACTCCTAGGCTTGGGTTTAGAAGAACCTTCCAGACTTTGATAGAGATACCCACTCTCCCCAGAGGCTGGGGTACAAATTGAATCTTCCCCAACCTGTAGTCTGAGAGTCAGGTGAGTCCAGAGAGAAGAGAAGAGAAGGAGAGAGGAAAGGTCATTTCCTCAGCTCCCCCCAGCGATGTTTCCACAGAGTGGCCACACAGAGGACAACAGAGAAATGGGAGCATTGGTACAGCCATCTTGTAGATGAGATCCTCAGCACCCCAGTGGAATGAAGTTGCACAGCCCCATTACAGGCAGAGTCCCATAACAAGCACAGCCCCATTACAAGCAGAGCTCCATAAGAGGCAGAACCCACAAGCTCCTGAATCCTCAGGTAGAACCCATTGGTTTTGGACACAAGCTCCTGAGTCCTCTCCCAACACTGGGCCCTGACGAATCCCCTTGGCAAAGAGACAGGCGCAGACTTACCAGAGCTGACGAGGTGTCACTGAGGAGAGGGTAAGTGTGCTGTGCATCTGGGCAAAGACTGGTCCTTTTATAAGGCCCAGTCTGGCTCCTCCCAGGCACTGGGAGCCCTTGGGTCATATCTGTGTACTTCCTGGACCATTGTCCCACTCAGGTGGGCGGCACGCACCTAGGAGTGTGTGCTCATCATGTTCCTGTAAAATCCCAGGCAACTCCCAAGGGAAAACACCTAGAGCTTTCTTCTGTTCCTCACTTCACTGGGGTCAGGGGTGTGGAAGACAACAATGGGATGTGTCTTGAAAGCACAGGGATTGTGGTCGAGAAAACTGGGTTTCTGAACTTAAAGAGGAGGGGACTCTGAAAGGCAGCATGGTCTGTGTTTGCTCATCACCCAGTCCTTCCAGAAGTTTCTGACATCTAACAAAAACTCTCCATCCAGCGGTTTTGCATAAGGGAAGGAGAACATATCATCGAAGAGTTTATAGGAAGGCATCATCATGGGAGGGGTGGCAACTTTGCCCAATCTCCTGCTGGCTCATGTCATGGTGGTCACCATCCCTGAGTCAGACAGTGGTATAGGCTATAACGATACTACACATCACCTTACCTGTCATATCGATATTCCTCCTAAACCTTCAAAACCTTATGAGATGGTGCTGTTGCCCTCATGTTGAAAACGGGGAATTGAGGGATTAAAAGATAAGCAAAGTTCCCATGTGTACAAGGCTAATAGCATGCTCAAGATGTGATCTCAAAAAAGCCTAGCCCCACTACTAGACCTCTGGGGTCACTGCAGGGCCTGTGAACTCAAAGTCCAGGGTCACCTCACTCCCATCTTCACATGGGGTCCTCATTGGAGGGGTAGAAAGCAAACAGTTGGCATGACCCACAGTGACAGACCAGAAAACACAGAGAGAGCAGTGGCTCAGCATGTCACCTGCAGGAGAGGGAAGACAGGAAGTCAGAGTTCTGAGTCCTGGCGTTAGCCCCACACTCTAGAAATTCACTTAGTGGCTCCAATGGGCCCACCAAGGAAGCCACTGTCTGGACTCAGGGATGGTGACCACCATGACATGAGCCAGCAGGAGATTGGGCAAAGTTGCCTCCGCTCCCATGATGATGCCTTCCTATAAATTCTTCAGTGATGTTTCTCCTTCCTTTATGCAAAACAGTCTGCTTAGGAGTCAGTGGCCATGCCCTGAGGTCTGTTATGTCCTAACCTGCTGTGGAAGATCTAGTTCAGGAGCAGGAAACAAGAGCGTGGAGGTCTGGATGAAACCCGGGGACCTCTGGGGACATAGCATTGCTGATTCACTGAAGAGTCCTTGTTTCTGCTCTCTGTTCCCCTTAGAACATTCTCCTATGGAGTAAGGGGACTGCTCAGGCATTGGGCACCCTGGGACCAGGCCCACCGCTGAGCTCCCAGGTTAGGCCCCCCAATGCACTGGGCCTCCATGCTTCAGCCTGGTCTTTCTGTCCCCAGTTATGTCCATATTTGCACCAGCTCCAGACCTCTGTGGTTCACTCATTTAGTTTATTCTCACCTCCACTCAGCCTCCCAGGAAGGATACACAGAAAACCTGGAGCACGAACTGCCTTCGAGCAGAAAAACTGAGATGGCATGCCCACTTTAGCCCTGGTGTAGCTTCTGAAATATGAACAAGGTCAAGATACTTTAAATTAGTTTTTAATTGTTTTAAGTTTTGCTTTGTTCAACCCTGGCCTCGCTTTCAGAGTCTGAACCATGTATCATCGGCTTCGGGAATCTAAACATCATTGATCTGTTGCAAGGTCTCTCTCTTATTTTACTTATATACTTATTTTCTCTTAATTTTCAATACTATTCAATTTGCCCCAAAAAGCCAAAAAAAGAAATATATGTTTTTCTGTTTATTTTTATGAATACTCATCAATGTCAATGATTGTTTTTGGCCTGTGTTCTATCTATGCCCTTTATTTGATATAGATCAATCACACAAAGAATACAAAAAAACTACAATGTACCGTCCAATGAATTATCTCTAACACCTGTGACTGCCCCGGTCAATGAATAAAATATTGCCACTACCCCTACCAGTCACTGCCCTCTTTTTCTCTTCCCCCAAACCATTATCTGGACTTTTATGATAAGGCTCTCTCTTTGTTTCATTTGTATTTTACCACTTAAGCAAATTTACTCCATAGGGAACATATTCTGTACATTCCTCTATGTCTGCCTTAGTTTGCCCAGTATTACATTTACAAGCTATATCCATGTAGTACTGTTTGTTCATCATTGTATGCTAAATATCTTGGTATGAATATATTCATACCAATGATATGAATGATATGATATCACATCATTTTCTATAATTCTGCTTTAGATATCACATGCCTTAATTTCCTTGTTTTCCTTTTGTTTGGTTTCCAGTTCAGGTGACCAGGGGTTTTGACCTCTGACCTCCTGTTCCTAGGGGAATCAGCCACCCTGTCTGGTGAGGGTGTGGAAAGGGCCCAGGGCAGGTCCTGCTTGTGTAAGTCCTGGGTGTTTAAGGAAGAACAAGGGGATGAGCCCATGTTTCAGGGACCAACTTCAAAACAGCCCTGTTGATTGTCAGAGACATTAGTGTTTGCAACTATTGTGACTGACAGCCACGTCCCACCCCAGCATCTCCCTTGTCACTCCCACCACCGAAAGGCTGTAAAAATCTCCCAGTCCCTGAGCCAGTAGTCCTTTGGCAACATGGTCCACACAGCCAGGTCATCAGAAGTGAAGACAAAAAGAATAAAATAGAAACTGTGGATGCTGGAGATGTACAGTGACACCCTGTATAACCGAAAAAGAGAGGAGGAGAGGTGGACCGAGATACCTTAGATGTGGCATTTGAATGAATGTCAACACCTAGTGTTCAAGCAAGAAAACCAGGGAAAGAGATTCCAGACCAGGACATGTGAGCAAAACTACAGCGCAGGACAGACATGACACCAGGAGGACAGACACAAGTGTGAAGCCAAGGGTGTTGGAAGTGAGAGGTTTGGGACAGGCACCATCTACATCCAACCCAGTACCGACCCCTCTTCTGAACGAACAGAGCCCAGTTTTGCTTGGGGTTAAGGTGTCCAGTACCTCCATGTGTGTCTGGTCTCATCTAAGCCATTTGGAGAGTCCGGTCTCTGCTTTCCCTGTGCCCCTTGCAACTAAGAGTGAGCATGTGGCCCACCAGTTCTGCCTGATGGAACTGAGTGATGCTGGGCCAGGCTTCGGGGGCTCTGCTTTTCTGGCAGAAGGGGACAGGGAGAGCTGGCCCTGCCCTGCCTCAACCCATGCCTGGGTTGCTGGTCCTGGACACAGGCAGTCATCAAACAATACTTATCCAAGTGAGTTGAAGAGTTACAGCTTCATAAAAACCTCCAAATGAACGATTTTAGAAGCTTTAGTCATAATTGCCCCAAACTGAAAGTAACCAAGATGTCTTTCAAAAGGTGAATGAATAAACAAACTGGAACAGCCATACAGTGGAATGTTATCCAGCAAGAAAAAGAATTGAGCTGTCAAGCCACACGAAGACATGGAGGAAACTGCCAGGATAGTGCTGAGTGAAGGAACCATTCTGAAACAGGCACATACTGTATGATTTCAAATACATGACATTATAGAAAAAACAAAACCATATTGACAATGAAAATATCAGTAATCATCAAGATAGGAGGGGATGGCTGGATAGGTGAGGCACCGGTGATTTTTAAGGCAATGAAACTACTTTGCATGATACTGTAATGATGAATATGTGGCATTACACATTTGTCAGAAACCACAGGATTTCACAATACAAACTGAACCCTAGTCAAACCATGGACTTTAGTACATAATATTGTATCAATATTGGTTAATTAATTATAACAAATGTTCTACACTAATTAAGATGTTAATAAACAGGGGACAT